GGAATGGCTTCAAATACCCATTGACTCGTTCTGACCGGCCAAATGCTGGCCATGAGCTGCATTTTGTTAGCATACACTTTGCATCGAGCCCGAGAGCCATACTGTAGTAGTATGACCATTCCGATATCGAGACGGAATCGAACGAGTTCAGCAAGATCTCTTCATTAGGCGTCAAAGCTGGAGGGAAGACGGATTGTCTCTTGACATGCTTATGCGGGTGATGGAAGAATGCACGTTCACGCTGACAGGCTTGAGCGCCAATGGCAGCGAGTGCTAGAAGTGCTGTTCTCATATTGACTGACAAATGCACACTTCACAGAGGCAGAAGGGTACCGAACAACGATAGGTTGCATGGTACTTTAAGTACTTGCAGGCAGTTCCGTCGGCGTTCGGTACGATAACGTCAAGGCTTCCATTCCGAGGATAGCTGCTTCTACTGAGAGCAGGTGAACCTGGCGAGTTCCCTGCTCTCTCGTGCCATCGTATCCCGACATGCGGGTAGCTGTAGCTGGACGCAGGCACTGCGTAACCGCGAGGTATACAGGCAACTGGCTAACGCACTCCGGAAGGTCGAAGAGATATGAACGCGGGGCGGAGCATTAAGGTGCTTGGCAGAGAGCAATGACGATATAGGTGGTGGGGTAGCTTCTGAAATGAGGAAGAGATGCCGCTTCGATGCACGTATCTTCTGCGGTCAAAATCTGACGGTCAGATAGCAGATCGGAAAAGCGCGCATACCGACGCCGTCGTTCCGTGCACGTCGCCAGAGGCTGACCCGAAAGCCGTCCGAAGAAAAGTAACGGTGGTGGAAAGTATAATATGGTTCTGCGCAGACGGCACAGAGCAGAGGATGGCCGGGTGAAGTTGAATGCGGGGGAGTGCGGAGACGCGTGATGGGCGCGTCCTTATTCCGCGATGCACTTGGCAGCATAGAAGAGACAGAACTAGAGCTTAGGAACGATGAGCGGAGCATCTCACTTATATGTATTCTGCGGTCCATCAAGGTGCCATCTCAGATTCTCAATGCGATAACGCGCAATGTTGGTGAGGGCGCAGGAGTCGAGTCCGAAAGTGATCTACGGCTAGCACGCTTTTGGGCTTAGTCATATCGAAAGGCGGGTGAACCAATGCAAGAGTGCACGGCGCAAGATGTTCGGCGAAGACTGCGTCAGTCAATAAACATTGGGCTGCCGGCAGCGCAAACACGACGGCAACAGGAAGGAGACAAAGGACACGATTTACTGACCGCCGCATTGATAGCGACAAAGCCAGCCGCACCTTCTCTGTCTGAGACCCGTCTCCTTTGTACCTTCCTTGTCACCAGTCGCTCTTTCAACTTTTGCCAACCGCCATCATGGACGTCTTTCGGTCGCCTATGCGCATGATCCCGCCCCTCACACCCCGTCGCGTCCCATCACCAGCCATGTCACCCGCCGGCAGACGAGGCAGAACCTATGGCAGCTCGGAAGAGACCCGCCTCCGCGACCTGTCGCCCGAGACGACCCTCCGCGCCTTCACACAAAAGCCGATGCCGTTCGACACAACACGCGACGAATACAAAATGTTTTCCTGCATCGAGACTCTCACCGCCGCCGAGAGAGACTTGGGATCGCGCGTCGCAAAGGCTGCGCAGCGGCTGAAGATATGGTGCGCCGAGATTGAGCAATGGGGGTGGTCGGGCAGCTTCGAGCAGCCCAGCGCCCAGGTCCGCGAGCAGAGGAGGAAAAGCATCGAGCTGCGCATCAGGGAGCACGTCGCCGGTTCCGACATGGGCAATGTCATGCCGCCATTAGAGTACTGGGGTTCGATGCTGTCGGTCGAGGTGGAGCAACACGAGGCGCGCCTCGACGACATCGCCGACGAGATGCTCAAGCTTGACGTCGAAGAGCTGAAGGAGCACGTGCTGGATATGCACCCGGCAGGCAGGTCGAGGCCGTCCTCTGCGGGCTACGAGGCCAATCGCCAGCACTACAAGGTCATGGACGACTTCTCCTTTCTCATCACTCAGACCCTCCTATCCGCCCTACCGCACCACGCCCAGCTCAAAGCCCGCCTAAGCACGTGGACCGCCCGCGTCTCCATCCTCCGCGAAGCCCCGCGTTACACCGGCGAACTCGATACGGCGCAAGAAGCCATGCGGCTAGGCTGGGATGCCATCGAGGCACCAGCAGACGCGTCCGACGCTGCATTTGAGCAGTGGAAGAAGGCAGTAGATACCATATCGCTCGTGCTCCATCAGAAGGTCAGTGACTTGGGGAGGCAACTAGACAAGATGCTCGATACACTCGAAGGACAGGAGGACACTCTACCCGAGCACTGGATAGACGTCTTTGAAACTACAGAGGCTGACTATGGGCAATGGAAACTCGAATCAAGAAGGAGGATAATCGATCTCGAGGTTCGGAGACAGGCGGAAGGTTTTAACACTACCGAGAAGGGCGCCCCTGAACCTGCGCTACAACCAGAGGTCGATGCGGGTACGACTGCGCATACAAGCGGCGAGCGGGTGTTGACAACAGCATCCTCATCAGTCAATGCTGGTAACGATGTGTCCATTGTCGCACCCACTGCGGCTGTGCAATCCGCTACTACGTCCAGATTGGATGCTCTCAATGCTCGAATCGACTCTGTCGCATCTACACTCCAATCGCCGCCACCGAAGCTTGCTTCGCAGAGCAGCCGCCACAACGCCATGCAGGATGACTACTTCAGTGCGCCCCAGCGTGGGATCTTCTCTGGAGACTATGCCATGAACGCATCGAGCAGCAGCAACTCAACACTTCATACCTCCATCGGCTCCAGCAACGCACGACAAGTCTCGGGTGAGACCGATGCTACCGAACACGAGCTGGCACAAGGTTTCGCGTCACCATCGAAGTCCCCTACTGCGACCACACATCTAGAGAAGATGAGCTTCGAACCAGGACCGGCCTCTGATGATGAAGACTCGGAGTTCGAAGAAGGCGACACTGTTGTACAGTACGATCTTGATGAAGGCCCCGAAGAAGTCGCCATCCATACAGAGACTGACGACCATTCATCCCAAGCATCTTTACAAGGCAGGCCCAAACCTCTGGCGCTTTTCGGCAATCCCACGATCACAAAGAACGACGGACAGGACAGCCCCGTTATGGAGCCTCCTCAAACGCCGCGATCATGGAGGGGCAGTCTTAGTTCGCTGTCCACAGATATGTCGCCTGATTCAAGCCCACCTAGTACCATCGAGGAGTCTCCTTCAGTCCGAAACGCCACTAATCGTTCTATGAGAGCGCCACGCCCCGAACTGAATGCAGCCATGGCGAAGCGTCGACCAGTCAAGACTACTACCACCGCTGATGACACATCAAGCGCTCCATGGCCACCGACGCACTTTGCTCAGAAAGCTAACAACAGCGCTGAAGAACTTGAGCGAAAGATCTCCGACATCCTCACGACTATCCCCGCCCATATTAGGCTTAGGTCAGGCCCCGGCCCCGATGCGCCCGAAGTCAAGTCGGCGCGTGGCCTTCTCGCGAAAAGCAGTCGTGGATATCTACGCGCAGCTCGCTCAGTCAGCGGCCTCAAGTCTCCTGAGCTCACACTGTCCCCTGCAAAGACTGAGTTCGAGTTGAACAACGCTACTTCAGGACGGAGGTCGGCTGCAGCTGCGAGAGGCGACAACGACATCAAACTGTATCATCTCACACAACCTGGCAAAGAACAGCCGATCAAGTTGTTCATCCGCCGCGTTGGCGAGAATGGCGAGCGTGTCATGGTGCGTGTCGGTGGTGGTTGGTCTGACCTAGGCGAGTACCTGCGCCAGTACGCCGAGCACCATGGCCGCAGGACAGCAAGCGAAGGCAAATTTGAGGTACTGGGTCTGGAGGTGAAGAACCCCGATAGTTCGCCGACGAGACCTGACAGCAGGGCGAGTAAGATGGAAAGACGCATCAGCGTTGGCTTTCCCCTGGCCAGCCCATCCACCACACCTGTCAAGTCATCTGGTCTAGCCTTTACAAGCGACGAAGCGCCACCGCCGATGCCCAGCTTTATTCCTGGAACACCAAGTGCCACTACTGAAGACCCGACGATACCCTCGACAACCTCGTCTCGTAGTTCCTGGCAGGGTAGGGAAGTCGGAATGGCAGGCCCATCAGCCAAGAAATTGGATCTCAGCGGCGAGAAGCTGGAGTGGATTGAGGGCATGATGAAGCAGGCTCGCACCGTGAGTAACAACGTCATTACCTCAAGCCATCCAAATTTCGAGCGCACCGACAGTAGGAGTGACAGTCGCCCTGGCAGCGCTGTAGGGGGAAAGAAGACAGAATTTGGTGATTTAGGCAAGGTTGGTGCGACCAAGCGTGTCTTTATGAAGGGTGGTAAGCCCGGTTTGGGCGATCACTAGGTGAAAGAAAAAGAGAGAGAGAAGAGGTGGCTTTTAATATTCTACATTGATACCCTGGGCCTATATATTGTATTGTACTTTTTCTCGTTTGTTCACGGTTGGATCGGATTGGTACAGTTTGGTTCGGTTTGGTTTGGGCGTATGGTATCGCAGAGCAATGCCATTATAGACGGGCAGGCTTCGCAGCATATCTTAGCTGAGGTACATACCCCATGGCGTTATTTGGGATTCATAGATGGCAGCGTCACTAGCAAGTGATGAAGGGGGCGCGCGATTTCATTTGTGATTCCCAAGAATTAATTCATTACAAGTTTTCATAAGATGTGCCAAAGGCCTGTTTTCGTTCAAGCCACAGAGAGGATGCTCCAGGAGCAGGCAAGGTAGACGAAATGAGTGCCAATGGCAGGTAGCTCCACGTTCCACAAAGCCGACGAGCACAAAACGCGCAATGTCGATATGGAGGTCGTGGGCTGGTTCGATCTTCGCACGTAGACTAATCGACACAGTATTGAGGAATAACTTGTGGCAATTTAAGAAAGTGCGGAATTTGGAAAGGGTAGAACCAAGCATTGAGTGGAGGAGAACCGGAAAGCGACTGCATGCATTTCAGTCATGGCTATTCGTCATCGTCGTCATTGTCACCTTGGACATCCATGACACGCTCGCCAGCTTTCTCAAGCGTTCGGCGACTCCACACACGGACTCCTTTGTATACTGCCTGGTCATTGTCAGCATGTTCACAATAATGTCAATCGCTTTCCACGTACCGCTAGGAATGTGCCAACACCGATGAGGATGATGATCCAGCTGACCTGTTCATATCTGTCTCGACCAGTCGTCCGACCTCGACCGCCGCCAATCCTGAAGTAAGATAGTGGACTGGCGATGAGGACTTTCAAGAAACCAAGCACACCCATGCTAGCGAAGCCCTTCGCAAAGTGCTCGTACCAAGTGGCCGACTCATCCTCGTAGTAATAAGCGTAGTCAGATTCCGACGAGGAAAAGGGGGAAAACAAGCTCCATGGGTCCAGATATAGGCTGATGATAGGATCTGCAACGAAGCCGAGGATGAACACGATGGATATCAATATAATGGCAGTCAAACCAACCTGAGCAGCTATAGTCCATGTTAGCACTGCTCTGTTATAGTGAAATGGAATACATACCAGCGCTGCCTATGAAGCGCCCAACTCCTAAACGCGCAAGTCGGTACTTGAAGCCACAAGTCGGACACTGCCAGTAGTTTCTACGCCCATAGCTAGGATCTGCATGCCTCCAAGCTTGCAAACAAGCTTCATGGACATACTTGGATGATCCCTTACACATGCACGGGCGGATCAAACGGCCACTTTCATCTTCGTACACAACGTTGGACGACTGTAAGAAGCCAGGAAGGCTTTGTGAGGGAACATTGAATGTCGGCTGAACTGTCTCGAGGCAGATTCTGCATTGTCTGGGCGGCCAGTGGGTACGTCTTGAGCTGCGCGACTGCGATGAAGAGTTGTCGCTGGTATTGGAGGTGGCTGAAGGTGGCGGTTGCGATGTGGAACCTGTGGAGGAGGATGTCGCGTGGGCGGGTTCTGTCTTGGGCGCGTCATCAGGCCAGTACCAGCCTGGCATGGCCTGATATCCGGACGAAGAAGACATGGCGGGGTGTGAAACTGTAAAGGTACAAGGCGGAGGTTAATGCAGCTCTTACCAGTAATATAGCATGTGGGTAGGCATGAGATGACGAAGTGATCAATCAGGAAGCCGCGGGGAAGACATTCGCCAACTTAAGTGTCTCGGTAGTGCGGATCATGTTCCGACACCGCCTCCTTGGGCGGTATGACACTAGGGACACGGTGGCAGGATATTGTAGACGTGGTGGTGATGCAGAGGAGCAGTTCTGGAAGCTCAAAGAATTCGGGGTTGCAGCTTCCTCAGACAAACCGGAGCTGCGGTTACGCCGAGCGCCGGTCTTGGCGCTTCCGGCGACGAAGCTCTGGGTAGCCTGGAGCTCTAGCAGATCGCCTCCAGTACCCGCGTCGTCTACCAACCCCACTGAACGTCCTCCCGCCGCCGACTACGCCCCTTCCTATATACCGCCTCTAGATTCTGTCAAGCAACCGTCATGGCGGACCGATACTCCTTCTCCCTCACCACTTTCTCCCCCAGGTAAACACTGCGCTATCGATTACGCACGACATGTTTGCTAACATTCATGTAGCGGAAAGCTGGTACAAATCGGTACGCGGCCCAGGGATATGGCGACTCCCGCCTTCTTGTATCAGACCGCATCTAATACCTGAACAGAGTATGCCTTGAACGCCGTCAACCAGGGTGTTACCTCACTAGGAATCAAGGGTGCGTTATATCGTTCATTAGCCCCCCAACAGCGCTGACTAGAGCTCGCAGCCACCAACGGCATTGTCCTCGCTACCGAGAAGAAATCGTCATCGCCGCTCATCGACTCGCAATCGTCATCAAAGATCAGTCTCATAACACCCAACATCGGTATGGTCTACTCGGGCATGGGTCCTGACTACCGCGTTCTCGTCGACAAGGCTCGCAAGGTCTCACATACCGGCTACAAGCGCGTCTACAACGAATACCCACCTACAAGGATATTAGTACAGGATGTGGCGCGAGTGATGCAGGAGGCTACACAGTCTGGTGGTGTCAGGCCGTACGGTGTCAGTCTGCTGATTGCTGGATGGGACGATGGTATTGAGCCTGAGGCCGAAGGCAAAAGCGAAGAGCAGACGAGCGAAGAGAAGAAGAAGGTCAGCGGAAAGACTGGTGGAATCCTCAAGGGCGGACCCAGTCTGTACCAGGTCGACCCCAGCGGCAGTTATTTCCCTTGGAAGGCGACAGCCATAGGAAAGAGCGCGACAAGCGCCAAGACCTTCTTGGAGAAGCGCTACACCGACGGTCTCGAGCTCGAAGACGCCATCCATATCGCCCTGCTCACCCTCAAGGAGACCATAGAAGGAGAGATGAACGGCGAGACCGTTGAGATTGGCATTGTCGGACCGCCAGAGGAGAGGCTGCTTGGTACCGAGGGTGTCGAGGGAGCCGTCGGACCGCGATTCAGGAAGTTGAGCCCGTCTGAAGTTGAGGACTACCTCACCAACCTGTAGAGGTAGAAGGTTATGACACAGCACCATCCTGCTCCGAGTCGGTACAGATGGACTTGGTGCTAAGGGCATGAAGCGACTTATGTAGCATTTACGAAAATGATGTCTTGAAATGCCTAATACTTGATCCCATTGGTTCGTAGACAGTGACGCGACAAACCCAATTGGGTTGTTTGTGCAACAACGAGAGCAGATAGAAGCATGCGAGGGGTTCTGCATTTCGATTGTCCGCGGTCAGAACACGGCCAAGCTAGCACCCTGTCGACTTTGAGCACTGAGACCCAACACCAAGTTGGTGACTATCAACGCTTTTTTACTTGTATCGCATCATACCGATTTACAAATGGATTCACCAATGCAAGATGATAACGATGCTGAAGCCCCTCCTGCTGTGCCCAGTGAGGCGTTCCAACTGCGAGGCTATCAGGCTGAGATGGTGGAAGAGAGCATGAACGGCAACGTCATTGTGGTCATGGACACGGGCTCAGGAAAGACGCACATGTGGGTAGAAGACTTTCGCTATGAGAGAATCCTACTGACAAGTCTGCAGAGCCATCGAACGGACACGAGCGGAGTTGGAGACGTGCGAGCCCGACAAGGTACGGATACCTGCCGCTAAGTCCCCACACTAAACTTCATCTCACCGAATTCGGGACGCATTTTAGATCGTCTGGTTTCTAGCACCCACAGTTACACTATGCGAGCAGCAACATGAGGTCTTCCAGTCTCATCTACCTGGACTCGGATACCAATTGCTTTGCGGAAGAGATGACGTTGATCTCTGGACCACTCAGGCGCAGTGGGACAGCGTTTTGGATCACATCCGCATCGTAATTTCAACACACCAGTAAGTCCACAGCCTGGGCACAAGGGAAGCCACACGCGCCCGTTAACGCGCTTTCAGGGTGTTGCTTGACGCACTCACACACGGATTTGTTAAGCTGGGCAAACTGGCTTTGTTGATTTTTGACGAAGGCCAGTCTCTTGCGTTGACAAGAAAAGGCCCCGCTAACATTCTGTAGCGCATCACTGTACTTTGAAGCACCCAGCAAATTTGATCATGTCCAATTTCTATATGCCTCAATTGGATAATAGTGGCAAGTCGCTGCCTAAAGTTCTTGGGCTGAGTGCGAGCCCTGTTATGAAAGCAGCAGCTACCGAGCAGGGTCTCCAGTAAGTTTGGCTTGTTTGGACGCGAATACTATTCTGATCTTTGTAGGGAGATAGAGCGGAACCTGCACGCCACCGTAAGAACACCAAAGCTTCATAGGTCCGAACTCATACGGCATGTTCATAGACCGGAGTTACTTCAGGTCAACTACGCGTCAAACGTCCCAGGGCAACAGCATTCTCAACTACTTCTCGCGCTGCAGCATGCATTACTCACGTATGATCTTGCAAAGGATCCGTACGTCGTCGCATTATTGGACCAACAAAAGCATGGCTTTGATGTCTCTCGCCAGCTGAACAAGCTGTGGAACAGCAATAAGACTTATTGCCTCGACCAGTTGAAACAGCTGGTTTCAAAAGCGGAAGCCATGGCAGACGAGCTCGGAATCTCAGCAATGGAGTACTACGTACATCAATGCATTGGCAAATTCGAAAAGACAACTCAAGGGTCGGATCAGCAGCTACTGGATTTGACCACCAATGAGCGACAACATCTACTGAGCATATTCCAAGGCCTTCCCCTTCAGGACCCTGCACCTTCACCTGCTACCATCATCGAGAAGATGTCCCACAAAGTTGAAAAGCTTATCGACACTCTGGTCGCTGAAGCCAATGGCACCCCAGGCTTTACCGGTCTTGTATTCATTGAACAGCGAGTCTGGGTAGCATCAATTGCTGAAATTTTAGCATGCCATCCACGAACCAAGGATCTGTTGCGGGTAGGGACATTCGTCGGTACATCGCAGACAAGCAAACGCAAAACAAACGTATGCGCTCTGGCAGAACCAGCCAACCAACAAACCACGCTCGACGACTTCCGTGCTGGGGTCATTAATCTCGTCCTGGCGACAACTGTTCTTGAAGAAGGTGTCGACGTATCTAGTTGCCATCTCGTGGTATGCTTCGAAAGACCCAAGAATCTGAAAAGCTTTGTTCAGCGACGCGGAAGAGCGAGGCGACAGGAGTCGCGTTACTTCATCCTCGTCCCAGATACTGGCGAAGCACGATCTTTAACATCGTGGCAAGGGCTTGAGGCTGAGATGAGGAGAGCGTATGAAGACGATAAACGCAAAGTTCAGGTGGCTCAGGAGGCAGAACAGAAGGACGAGGTGGGTGAGCGCTACTTCAGTGTCCCAGGTACCGGGTGAGTGAGAAGTCTTTACTAGCAGCGTTTGCTTTCGTACCTTGCCCCATCGGCCTTCACTTACTGGAGACACTAGTGCATTGTTGACTCTGGAAAACGCGGCTCAACATCTCTACCATTTCTGCGCGCGCTTAGGGGGCAACACCTACGTCGACACGCGACCTGAAATCGACTTTACCAACACCCTGGGGCGGATCACTGCTACCATCACGCTACCAATCTGTGTTGACCCTACTGTAAGGAAAGCTAAGAGTCTGCAGTCGTGGAGCACCGAGCGAATGGCTCAGAAAGACGCTGCCTTCGAGGCATATAAGGCTCTTTACCTGCACGGATTGGTAAACGAGAATCTACTCCCCGTCCAAGAAGAGGGAGACGACAACGCGGCCCAATACCAGATTCCAGACGATCGCCCATCCCTTGTACCTGTTTCTCAAACTCTCGATCCGTGGGCGGTGGTTGCGCAATCTCATGAATGCGAACCTGA